AGTATGCAACCCCAAGCTGTTTATTTTGTGTTGATCTGAGTACTGTGCAATGCTGGGCGAGTAAGTTTAAAGATGTTGAGGTGGGAACATCTGAGTTGCGTGACAAACAAAAAGTTGGACGTCCTGTGACAGCAACCACCGAGTTTCACAAGCAAAAGGTTGACAGATTGATTCAGGACGATCGTCGTATCACTCAGAGAAATTTCAAGCATAATCGGCATTTCACAAGAACGTGTGGGTCACATTATTGCTTTGCTTGGCTAGCGGAAGATCTATGCATGATGGGTACCCAGGATGCTGATGCCTTAAATGAAAGCGCACAAGACGTGAAACTTCAGAGACTGGATCTCACCACCGTATGACATCCTCGACACAGTCCAGATTTAGCACCGTCTGACTTCCATCTGTTCCCAATAATGAAAGAAGATCTGACGTTGAAGATGAAGACGTTGAGAGAACTGTGAGATACTGGTTGCAGAAACAAGAGTGTCAATTTCTTCCGTGACCACTTCAGAAAACTTGTTTATCATTGTCAGAAATGTATCCAATTGCCTGCTGATTATATGGAAAAGTGAATAGTGGTAGTTAAAGAGCACATTCTAAGGATTATTTCTGTGTTTGATTTATTAAAATATTCCCATCCAAACCCAAGTAATGAAGGTGGAGGCATTGCTTTTCATTCAACCCTGGTATATGGCTATCATGTCTCCTCTCAGCCTTCTCTTCTTCAGGCTAAACATGCCCAGCTCTTTAAGCCACTCCTCATAGGGCTTGTTCTCCAGACCTTGATCATTTTAGTCACCCTCCTCTGGACACATTCCAGCTTAGAGTCAACATCTCCCTTCAATTGTGGTGCCCAGAATTGGACACAGTGTGATTCCAAGTAAAGTGGTCTAACCAAGGCAGAATAGAGCATGGGGAGCATGACTTCCGTGGATCTGGACACTAGACTATTGATGCAGGCCAAAATCCCGTTAGCTTTTTTTTGCCACCGAATCACATTGTTCGCCCATGTTCACTTCCTCCCCACAAGAACTCCAAGACCTTTTTTACACGTCCTGCTGCTCTCAAGCCAGGCATCGCCTCCCATTCTGTCTCTTTGCATTTCCTAAGTGGAGTTTCTTGCATTTGTTCCCATTGAACTTCCTTGTGTGAGTTTTGGCCCATCATCTCTCTCATCTGTTCAGATCGTTTTGAATTCTGCTCCTATCTTCTGGAGTCTTGGTTGGGAACCACTGCTATAGAGGCTTATATCTATTGAGTCAACAAAACACAAACTGAAAATATGCAGAAAAAGAAAATCCAAAAAGCAAACCTTGATTTTGCTGGTGTTTAGGCATCCCCTGCTATAAGCTTCAATTTCGAATAACCTCAAGTTCTCTGGGTTGTTTCACCATTTTATATTAGGGATGCCATTTTTCACCACTGTATGCAACAGGAAAAAGTTTTGGTATGAAAACTCAGGGGTTTTGGGTGTCGGTATAGGAAAGGAAAATGCTCATTTTGAGACATGTTAAGATACATAGCTGTTTTTCTCCCCCTGTGTTTTTGCTTTATTTCCCTGTTTTCTATTCTCTAGGTATGCACTCTATCCTAAATGATCCTCATCAAAGATATACAGAGATAAAGCAGTGGGATTGATGTACTTTGGGAAAAGATTTACGAAAACCAATCTGCTAATGCTCAATCAGTTTAAACTGCACTTCAAGCAAAATGAAATCGGGTAGAACAATCATTTTCCAAACTGACAAGGAACATATATCCAGCATGTAAACTGGTGGATTTCAAATTTTGCAGTGGGTTAACCGGCTGAGCTGCTGAGCTTGTCAATCGAAAAGTTGCAGCTTCGAATCCAAGGAGCGGCATGAGTTCCCACTGTCAGCCACAGCTTCTGCCAACCTAGCAGTTTGAAAACATGCAAATGAGAGTAGATCAATAGGTACCGCTCCGGCGGGAAGGTAATGGTGCTCGACTGACAATGCCGGCTCTTTGGCTTAGAAATGGAGATGAGCACCAGAGTCACAGAGTCAGACACGACTGGACTTAATGTCAGGGGACAACTTTTACCTTTACCTTAGATTATTTAAACAAGTCAGCCATGAAAGAAAGGAGTTATAGCATACAATCAAACCTAAGGGGAGAATTGTGTCTTTTTAGAATACTATAAGGCAGTGGTTCCCAATCTTTTTGTTTTGTTTTTTTTTTACCAGGGACCACTCTCCAACATTAGTACCAAAAGGGTTATGAATCCATTTTTGGTCAATTTTTGATTTGGTTTGGTTATTTGGGGTGCGGATTCAGAAAATTGCATTGGATAGACCACATCACCTCTAGTTTCTGATAAAGAACATACACTATCCTGTAGTCACCATCTGCTTGTCCACAGAAAACCATATTTAAAAATCTACTGCGGATGTGGTAGTAGTAATCTTTCGTGGGTAGTCAGCCTCTCCCCTCCCAATATTCCTGTTGCCGCGGCACTATAAGAGGCTTTTGCAAGACTAGTTGCTCTCATTGCCGTGTGGTTTCGAGCCAATGGTGAGTCCGTGGACCATATTTTAATTCTTGCGGGTCGCAGGTTGGGAACCACTGGGTTAAGGAATCCAGACTGGTCAACTCAGCTCCCTAATTACTTCATCTTTTGGCAATTTTTCTCCTCAATAACTTTTCTATCCTCAGGATTGGCACTTGTTTCTCATTACAGTGTGCCCTTACTACTTCGTGGTTCGCTTTTAGTGGACACACTGTTTCATGAGTTTTTGAAAATATTAATAAAAATACAAAATATTTATGTCCAGTGGAGGCCAGGGATCACGGAAGTGTGGCAGCCTGAGGTGCAGTAGGGAAGGCCTGCCTCCTTGTCCTGCTGTTGTCTGCGTGGCTCCGGAGGTTTTGCCGGGGTCCTGCGCAGGCCAGGAAGGAAGGTAGACGCCCTCGGAATGGGCCGGGAGGTGGGTAAGGAAGCACGGGTAAGAAAATAGTACATACAATATATAAAATAATGTATAAATATTAAAATTAATATGGCATCCATATTTTGCGGATTTTCACTTATTTGTGGGTGGTCCTGGAACGGAAACCCCGCGATAAGTGAGGGAACACTGCAAGCCTATTTCAACTCTCATCTTTTCAGCAAGACAAAAATACCACTTAAACATTAGAAAGAACTTCCTGATGGCAAGAGCTCTTCAGCAGTGGAATATGGTGCTTGGGATCTCAGAAGAGTCTCCTTCTCTATTGGTTTTTAAGCAGAGGCTGAACAGCCACCTGTTGGGGATGCTTTGATTGTGTCTTCCTGCCTGGGAGAATGGGGTTGGATTGGATGAATCTTCCAACTCTAGGATTTTATGATGAAAAAGCAGGGATAGTCAATGTGTGCCCCTCCAAATGCTTCTGGATTACAACAGTAACTGTTCTTCACAAATAGCTGGAATAAAAAGGTGGCACAGTCCAAAGATATCTGTAGCACTGGGGGTAAAATGGCTCAAGTGAGACACCAAAGGAGTCCAGGTTTGAGAGGGATTTGCCTCTTCGAGTGTTGTTGACTGTAATATCCAGCAATCTTAGGCAGCAAAGATGAGAGATGATAAAAGTTACAGTCTCAATAACATCAAGAGACACTGTTTGGCCAGGTAGACAACTACAAGAGGTGTTCATTAAAGATTTCCTCTGACCCACTTCCTGTGGACTGAGAGCAATGAAACTTGGCACACCTTCTCTCCATTGGTGCCATCTAGGGACACACACTACGCCCATCTTTTTAAGCAACTGTAAACACCTCACTTGTAGAAGTCAACAGGTTGCTCCAAAAGTTATGTTGTGACTTCAGAAATCAGAGTCTCATCATCTGAGAAATGCTTGCCCTTCAAAAATAACTTTATTGTTGGAAGTCCAATGGTACGAGGTCGGGTGAATAAGGTGGATGCAGTAGAATTTCAAAGCCACAGGAGCATGCTTCATTTGGGAAACAGGTCAGTTGTGAACTGGTGCACTGTCTTGCAGAAGGTGATCACCTTTGGTGAGCATGCCACGTTGTCTCTTGGTTTTGATAGCCTCCAGCAATTTCTGCAGCAGTGAAGCACAGTATGCCCCAGTGATCATGGTCCCCTTTACTAGGAAATCCATCCAGACTACTCAGTGCTAGTCCCAAAATACTATGAGTTTGACCTTGCCTGCCAAGAGTTGGGCACGTGCCTTCTTTGGAGGCAGTGAGTCATGATGCTTCCATTGCATTGACTGGACTTGAGTCTCAGGATCAGAGTGATGGACCCAGTTTTCATCCTGTGTGATCAGTTTGTTGGAAAAGTCCTCCTGGTTTCCATGGCACATCGTCAAGAGAACCTGAGAGCATTTGACTTGTTCTTGTTTCCGGAAAGATGTGCGCAGCCGGGGGACCCAGTGAGCAGATACCTTCTGCAGGTGAAGATGGTCTTGGATGATTTTTTCCACTGATCCCACACTTGTCTTGACATTTTGAGCTAGGTGGTGAATGGTTATGTGGCTGTTTTCCAAAATGGCAACCTTCTCTTGCTGGATGGTGTGTTCATCCATAGCAAAGTGGGGTTGCCCTGGAATTGGAGCTGTTTGCACCGAATTGACGGTGCCATTTCTTGACTTCATCATATGATGGGGAATCATCACCATAAACCTCTTTCATCTCATCCAACGTCTCCTTTGGTGTGCGGCCTTTCAAGGAAAGGAACTTGAGGTCTGCTCTGTATTCCACTGGGTCCATTCTCAAACCTCACCCCACTTCGGCACCTCTCAAATCAAGACCGTTATCAGTTCTGAGTTGTAAATTGGCACATAACCGATAAAGACTTATATCATTACACATGTGCAGTTTCAGCATCCTGTGATAAATAGAAGTTGGTCAGGGGAAACCTTTAATGAATGCCTCTCATATGACACGCATTTCGTGTGTTCCTAAATAAGACTAGAGCTGGAAAAATGATACAAACACAACAGTTATGGGTCAGCCAGGAAACAATCTCCAAGACGAGCTTTTACCAGTGTTTTATTTTTAAAAACAGGTGAGTCCACTTTTTTTTTAATCCACATCATTGCACTTCAACGACACGCTACAAGGTCATGCATCTACAGGTATGCCATGGTTTAAGAATCCTGCTAAGTCTGTGATTCTACAATCACGTCTGTAAATCAACATGATAGACTTAATGATCAAACTGAAACAAACCGGTTGCATAGAGTATCACCATGCTTTGACATTTCAACATCTTTTAAAACAAAAAGAAAAAAAGAAAAGAAAAAAATAATATAAAATTCTGACTTGATTGAATGTACAAGAATGTGAACACATCAGTGCAAAAGGATGAGAAATTTACATGATGTAACAAAAAAATATATAGTCACTTAAAAAGCAATCATAATATTTATAAACTAAAGTATTTTACTGCAGTTCATCACCTCCTATTGGACTATTCCAGCTCTTGCAGCCTTTGATCATAGAATATTTAAGTCTTTCTATACAGATTAAGCCCTTAGGATAAAGTTCAATTTATATTACTCTTCTTATGTACTGGATATAATTCTCTCGGCTCTCAGACATACAATACAAGGAATGAATTTAGCAGCTTAAAAATCAAACATTTACTGTAGTTTGGTTTCCCCTCCCCCAAAATATAAATATATACTGTATATATTTTAGGTTTCGCTGTACTTTACAAAAGGTATCACTAGATGGCAGCAGTGCATCTTAGAGCTTTGCTAATTGTTAAACAGCTACATGGAAGGTAAAAAATGCTGCATGCATGATTGGAATTTTTTTTTCTCTTACCGATAATACTTAATATTCTCAAAGGGGGAAAAAGCAACATTCACAGCACATCAAGCCCAAAATAGTTTACACCCTCTATACTGAAGCATTAGTAAATGTATCAGCTAGGTCATCCTTACAGGAGAGGCTAAATAAGGCATGCTTTAGACAGTCATTGTTGCTCACTTGAAAGAAAAGAAAAAAGAGAGAAACCCAAAACATCAGAGATAGGACTGGAGTGTGGAAACCAACCATTCCAATTGTTCAGTTCAGCAGACGAAGTTGCATCAGTCTCTCAAAGTTAAAGCTCTGAAAAATGAGAACAATTTGTGATTAACTGGATCCTGAGATTATGACACGTTACAGGCCAAGTCTCTCCTATCTTATTATTTATTTATTTATTTATTTAAAACATTTATATTCCGCCCTTCTCACCCCGCAGGAGACTCAGGGCGGAGCACAACATATATACGTCAAACATTCAATGCCAGGGCATAAAACCATAAATATATACAAACATTAAAATCATTTATATTCACATTAACAGTTGCTTAAAAACCATCTCAGGACACCATTTTGCCTGATACCTGAAATACTCCAGAATCTGAAACTTTTGCCAGTTATCAAGCAACTTTATTTTTGGGGAAAGGGGGCTAGGCATATGTCCAGCATCCAGAGATATGCTTCTTCAAAGAACCCTGATGGGGGAAAGTGAATCTGAGATGTCTTCTTTTTACAGGGTTTTATATAAGCAAAGCCCAACCTTCTCTCCCCATCAGGGTTCCTTGTGGAAAAATGCAGTAAGTATTGGACATAAGACTAGCCCCCTTTCCCCCTTCATTCTCTGTGTATAGACAAATACAAATATTCCAAAATCCAAAAAAAAAATCAGGTCCCAAGCATTTTGGATAATGGGGACAACAATTCTACATGTCGAATGCTCTGGTGGCTTAGATTTCTTCTCGCCAGCTAGTCAGGTCTTAGGGATTTTAACCTAGTTTAAAAACAAAACAAAACACAACTACCATGTTTGACACAGACTTACATAAGCAATACTTTCAATTTGTGTTTCTCTGACGTAGATTTTTGTCTTTGTGGTTGTTTGTGGAGTTGGTTTTCCTAGGGGAGAAAAGCCATCAGAATCAAGTTATGAAATAATAACAACAATAATGATATTGTACATATCATTAATGTGTACATATGTAAATGGAAAATAAAGACATGTTAACAGAAATGGATTCATTTTCCTTGGAATGTGTATTGTTTTTATTTCACAGGAAAAGATAAATCTTGGAGATCCATCTTATGTGGAAAATGAATCCCATTTGTTAGCCTTTGTGAAGTCTCCACAGTTGTTTCTTGTAATATTTTCTGGATCTTTTGTGAAAATAATTTTTGTTGCTTTTTCGTTTTGTTTTGGTTTACCTTCATGTAATAATTAGCTTAAGTGTATTAGTCTTATCACCTGTGTATTTTAGGGTGCTAAAACAATGAAGAATAAAGGGGATGAAATAATAAAAAAGATTGCAACCAAATTCATATTTTGTACAATTTTTGATATTGTGATCAGAGGAGAATAAAAAAAGTACAATCTGAATTAACATGCAAAAATGGCCATTGTCTTTGTTTGTACATTATATGTACAGTACAATGCAGTCATTTCATAGTTTAAAACTAGTCAGAAAAAATAACTGTGATGTTTAGTCTTGCAAAACTGTATGTAGTTAGATATGTGACAACGTAATATTTATCTAATAAATATGTATTCAAATGAAACTTGTAAGAAAATGATATTTATTTGTACCCTGCCACCATCTCCCCAAAGGGACTCAGGGTGGCTCACAGAAGCACTCCAAGTGCCACATGCAAACAACAATACATAAGTATAAATATAACGACATAAGTATAACCAACAGTGCATAAGAAATGTCAACATGAATGGAGCTTTAAAGATACATTGCACCAATGAGAATGTTCCGTACCATGTTTCTCAACCATAATAATAATAATAATAATAATAATAATACTTTATTTATACCCCGCTACCATCTCCCTAAGGGACTCGGCGCGGCTTACATAAGGCCGAGCCCACAGTACATCAAAAAAGCAACAACAACAACAATACAAAACAGTTAAAATAAATCTCATAAACAAAATAAACAAAAAACATTGAAAATAGCACATTTAAAAACCTATGGCTGGGCCAAATGTAATTTAAAATTTAAAAAATAATGCTGGACATGAATAATGCTGGACATGAAAAGGAGAGGTGCGGGCATACAAGCAATCCCAAGTCAATATAAAGTCCATCTCCCAGAATTGTTTGCCATGCACACCAGATGCACCTGTCACACTCAGCACTTTTTAATCTGTACCCATTACATTTGGCCCGGCCCTAGTTTTTATCGTGTTCTGGTGTACTGCTTTTGTTGTTCTGATATTGCTTTAATAGTTTTTTGATTTGCTTTAAGTTGTTTATTTGTTATGCTATTGTTTTATTAAGGCCTTGGCCTTTGTAAGCTGCATCGAGTCCTTCGGGAGATGCTAGCGGGGTACAAATAAAGTTAATAATAATAATAATAATAATCCATTGCAAGATGAATTATTGTGGGACAAGCTCTCCAAAAGATGGAAAATAAGAGAACCATCAAGCAGGCAAAAGATTACCAAAAGATAAGATGTACTTACATTGGTCCAGCTGGTTCATCATCTGCAGGAGGAAGTCATTGCAATTCAACGAAGAGGAGAGAGAAAGACAGAGAAGTTTCCAGTTACAATCTGTTGTAAACTCTTGCGGGGCAGCACACAGTTGTCATTTGCACACGGCATTTATCTAAAGGCCATTCCATTCAGTATTGCAAAGGTTCATGATGTTATTTTTTTTGGTCTGGATTTGAGTTTAGATGACACAATTCAAAATGGTTTCAGTTAACACTTTTGAATGCTAATCATGAAAAACTGCAACTGTAGTGGACAGATTGTTGCAATGTGGTCATACTCATCCTGTCCCCAAGTTCCAGTGGTTCAATCTTACAAAGTAGATGAGAAGACAAACCAACATTTCAGTTGTAAAATCCTGCTGTTCGTTTCTAAAATTTATGTGCTTCTCCCCCCTCTCTCTCTTGGAAGGGCAAAAGGTTGGCGTAGGATTTCAAGTGTATACATCTCTCTCCTGAATCATCTTTCACACCTTTTTGGCTTGCATGTCATAATAAGGTCATGTTTCGGAAAGGGGAAGATGCAGTTTTGACTGACGCTACAGAAAAGGCAGTCCTAACATAGCAGCAAACTTTCCAATATCTGCTCGATGGTTATACTAGTGATACAGTTCACAGAGACTTTAGCTTGTCATGTGGAAGAGCCAGAAAGTTGTCCCATTTTGTATCTTTTAGAAAAAAAATAAAACCTTAATCAACATGTGTCTTTTCACACAGGTATCTTTATGATCGAGTGAACCTTTTGCTGATTCTTTAGGATGCTGCAGTACATTACACAAGAGTGAAAAAAAGAAAAGGCACCTTTGAAGCAATGGAAATACCCAATCCACAAACTCATGATGTAGAACAGTTGTCAACATTGGTCTGCGTTTCATCGTCATGTTTTTTTCCCCCAAGCTTGATTTTCATTGTGTTTGGTTTGGTCAGCAGGATTCCACAAGGGTCTTAGGGCACACAAAGCAGTTATGGAAACTACAGTCTTAAACAGTGTAAGGCAAAACCGCATGAGCACACACTAGGAGTAATGTTGACCGGAGCTGAACATTACTCCACCTGTACCTTTGAGGCAACGGAGAGGCAAAGCCACCGCCAGCACAGTTACCAGAACGAAAAGAAATCAAACATTCAAAAGAAAGAAAAAGCTAACCACAAACCAACAGCTTCACAGCCAAAATAACATACTAGCGACACATCAGTGTCCACAGAAGTCTGTTACTAACAGCAAAACTATCGGAACAAGGTACAGAGAGAACTAGGACTAGTAAGGACAACCAGACATCAATGTGCTGTATATACAGTGGAGATATACAGAGACACATCAGGTATTGGAACATGAAGCACATTACAGCAAAACTAAGTCTCCCCTCAGTCGAACATCTTTCAATTCCCAAAAGACCTCAGAGGCAGCCTATGTATGCAAGACCCTACATGGGATAGAATGCACATTTGGGAGCCTGAGAGACATTGGCAAGAGTCCTTAGTTTTATTGGTTTCTCTATAGAGAGTAGCAGGGTTAGTAATGCCGTATTAAAGAAAGCAGTCGTTCTACATAAAGCCTTGCTTCAGACACAGCAGCCTACAACAAAAAAGGAGGAGGACACTCTGGGAGTGTTTTGCTAACCAGTTCTTTTTTTTAAAAAAGGATGCAGGCCCTTGTCTTTCTCATCATCACTTTGCAAGCCCTGCCTTATACCACACAAGCTCCTCCACACGCCGATCCTCAAACCATATCAAGTGGTATAAGACTGAGCTGATAAATGATGGTTTTACTGAATGTATGTTTTGCATTCGACTAACGGCAGCCAGAGAAGTGCTCTAGCGCGGATTTTTGTTAGGTGCCAAAGCTAACAATCTCTCGGACTGGCGGGACTGCCATCGCCTTCTTTTTCTGTGTCCAGAAAAAAAATCTGGCCATTATATATATATAAAAAAACCACTAGCTTATGGGCCAGCCGCTTAGCCATTGCAAAATCAGTCCCAGCACGGTACAAATATGTGACAGACAAAAGGATCCAGATCCTAGAGAAGTTGACCGATCAAAAGGGAGGGACAGAACTACAGAGAAATGGTACAAATTAGAAAAAAATAATAATGGAAGATTCAACAGCAAACTGAAAACCCAAATTAGTTGTGAATGTGAATGAGAAGAACTCAGGAAAAGTGTTAACATTATGAACTGTGCATTGTATAGACTGAAGCAGAGGTTAAAAACAAACTCCAAAGCATGCAGATCTCTCACTTACCACCATTTTTTAAAGGAATGATGCAATTGAAGGGGGAAAAAAAGAAGTCATAGTAACTGACAAATAACAATACAACTCAAAACAGCATGATCTAGTCATTATCGTATTGGAGAGTATCGGGGCTGGTGGCCACGCAAGGTGAGGCAGGCCTCTGCATTCAGTCAGATGGGCGGAAGAGTTGGTAGGTCCTACTCATGTTTAGACTGGCGTCTCACAATATTCTTTCTGCATCAATAGATCTCTCTCCTGGAGGATTTCCACTGACTTTATCAAGTTAGACATGTACACTGCATAAACCACTGCAAGTATGGGATATATAGGTGAAGATATTTGTTATGCTCCCGAGTTTTCAAGAAGGTTTCCAAAAGCAAAACTTGTATTGTGCACCTTTAGGAATAAAATGGGCAATACTGCTTGCTCATTCAACACTTTTTATAAAGTAATTAGCTGTCCCCTGCCACGTGTTGCTGTGGCCCAGTCTGTGTAGATGTGTTTTGAGTGTGTATATATTTGTGTGTATGTGTCTATATGTGTGTTCGCGTATATGTGGTTTTAAGCATGCGTTGTAATGCATTTTTTTTGTTTTTGGCTTTTTAAGTCTCTTCTGCTGCGTTTTTCCGTGTTTTATGAGTGATGGTCACTCATTGGCCTGAGAGGTGTCTTGTGTCCAAATTTGGTGTCAATTCATCCAGTGGTTTTTGACTTATGTTAATCCCACAAATGAACCTTATATTTTTATTTATATAGATATAAAGTACACAGACACAAAATATAGCATTTTTAAACCAGGTCTGGGGGGCATCCATGTGTAAAATCAAGTCCCTTTAACAATATCAAAAGTAAGGACTTTTGAACAGATGTTTCAGAAGGTTTTAAAGGGGAACTTGTGCCAAATTTTACAAACACATGAGCTTCAGAACCCAACATTTTGTACAGTAATAAAGGGTCTCCCAAACCTGACGCAGAGAAGCAAAAAGCCAGAAGAGAGACAAAGAAGAGCTACTCTCTTCTCACTGGCATATCCAGCACTTGGTATGTATTCATATTCTCTAATGGGAAGGCAAGGATGGGAATGGGGACTCAGGTGGATTTGTGGAGTTAAACTAGTCAAGTTTACTCCCTCAATGGGCTGCCAAGAAAGCTATAAAGTCTCTTGCCTTGTCTTAAATGTAAACTACAGTAGAGTCTCGCTTATCCAACATAATGTTGTATAAGCGAAAATGTTGAATAATAAGGAGGGATTAAGGAAAAGCCTATTAAACATCAAATTACATTTTGATTTTACAAATTAAGCACCAAAACATCATATTTTACAACAAATCGGGAGAAAAAGCAGTTCAATACACAGTAACATTATGTAATAATTACTGTATTTACAAATCTAGCACCAAAACATTGCAATGTATTGAAACAGTTGTGGATCCGGGCGGGAGGCAGACTGCATTGGATAACACAGAATGTTGGATGAACGAAGGTTGGATAAGCGAGACTCTACTGTATGTACGTTAAAAGTTCAATTAAATGTTATTCTGCACTAAACAAATTCTACATAATAGGCAAATGCTTCTGAGGAAGGAACATAAGGAAGAGTGACAGACACAAGGATGTCTCCTGGAAACTAAAGCAGTGTAGATTTGTTCAGTGTTGTCTTTTCTTAAATGGACACTGTAGTATCTCACAATATTTCCGGTCACCAAGCCACCCGTTGTCTCTGGAGCCATACCCCACATCACACAATTCTGGCATGCAAAGTGACTGATACACATGTGACCATGACAATATGCTACAATGCACACATAAGTAAATTTTCAATCTTTTCAGAGAGGTGTCTCTCTCCCACCCCTTTTTAATGTACATATGTGCACATTGTAGAACACAATGATTATAGGACAGTAAAGCTTCCATGTCAAGAGTTTTGTGACGTGAGAAGCCATGGAAGGCCCATTTCATCGACAATCACCATCAATTTCAGGGACAATGGTTCTAATCTAAACCGATCTCCTCTCCTAATTCTGCAGCATTATTTCACATGTGTCAATGGAAGGGTTCGTTCTGAAGTATTGAACCAGTCTGATTTCTCTTTTGGAAGAGACAGCAAAGCCTGGTCCAGATCAGCATTTAGCTCTACACCAATGGTTCCCAGCTTTTTTCTGATAAGGGACCACTTGACTAGGGACCACTCTCCAACATTAGCACCAAAAGTATTACAAATCAGTTTTTGGTCAACTTTAGAGTTTGAACAAAATGCAAAAAGCGGACTGCCAGATCCAATAAACTGTCCCTAATGGGTTTAACAAGAATAATAATTACCTTTGGGGACTAAACAGGGTCTTACAAAGGGCTGTTTTCCCATATACTCTTGCGTTTGGCAATGGAAGCCAATAATAATAATAATAATAATAATAATAATAATAATAATAATAATAGGAAGTCTCCAGTGTGTGATCTAATACACAGTAGAGTGTCTGCTGTGGACTCATCTTGTTGTATTTCAAATAATAACAACAACAATAACAATAATAACAACAACAACTTTGGAGCCACGGACCTTATTTTAGGTCTCACGGCCCACCAGTGAGCCGTGGCCCACAGGTTGGGAACCACTGCTTCACACCAAATAGCAAGTAATCTCTCAAATCATTTTCTAATATTATTACATTTCGCCCAGCCATAGGTTTTTAAACGTCACTGTGTTATTGTTAATGTTATTGCTTATTTTCTGTTTATGAGTTTTATTTATTGTTTGTATT